TTGGTTCTTTATTTTATTTGGCTGTTTACACGATACTAGAGTAGCTACCCTTCATTCGTTCGGATTTAATCGTAATATGAAGTAGAAATCAATTATTTGCAGTATCCTTTTAACGTCGACGTGCGACCATGAAAATTGTTGTTCTACCGAAACATCTTTCCATCACTATCACCCTGTGCTTTCCATTGGGAGCTAAAAGAGCTAGAATTTTCTAACCTGTAGAGTCTCCAGGCTTCTCTAATATGTTCAGCTTGTAATGGGCTGGTTATGTCTCCTCTATATACTAACTTCGGATCATCTTGATCTATTTCTTCGCCATCTGCCAATTTATTCATATTCTCTAGGTTCCTTTTTCTTTTTAAAAAGATGTCTTGTTTGAGCTTTGCTTTGTCGTCGCGTTCTTTAACTTCTTGGGCTCTTGTGATTATTTCGCCCAAAAACAGCTTAGATAGACCAGCTAGAACGACTGTCAAATTTTGAGGCAACGAATGACCAAGAACTCCACCGCAAACTTTCTTAAGGCTCGGTTTATTTACAGTCATTCGACGATATGCCTCAAACCTTTCCATTTGGTCGTCGGACAAATTTGAAATGATGAGTCTCTGTTTTTCTTGTTCTGACAAGTTTGTATTTGGCCCCAGACCCTTAAGCTCCTTGTATTTATTAATAAGTTCTTTATCATCCACATCAGATAAATCAGAGAATTCATCGCTGTCTTCTCTCGAGCTCTCTCGGCCATCGTTCGTTTGATCAATTTGAGACACACCAGCATCCTGTCCCAAGAAGCTATAGAATACTCTATGTATCAATTTTTCATCATCATCATCTAACTTTACATCGCTAAGGTTTTCTTCATCTTCACTCAACATAATCAAAAATATACTACATGCTACTAGTAATCGAAGCCTTCGAAGCTGGATTTATACATTATGATTGCATAAAGAAGTGTCACAAAACCACTTATAATATATCACCGCAATATATGATATATAGACAGGAATTCATAATACATCCAATTGGTATCTGATCTGTTTAATATCTTCATTGAGCTTATAGACTCGTAAAAGGTAATCTCCCCAGTTTGGCTTTGCATCTTCTTTCAAATCAATCAAAAGGGTGGAGAGATTTTCAAGATGGTCTTTCAATTTACCATCGAATAGCCTAACATTTTTTTCATTTCGTTCATTGAAGCAAATAATAAAATTATCAATTATGGCATTTAAACCTTCTATAGTTCTATGCCTCTTCATCACCAGTTGTTTTAAGGTAACACTTTTTTTTACATCTGGAAATCCCAAGCTTTCTTCAATCAAAGCTTGTAGCGAATAGGATATGTTTCTATCTTGGTCAACAAATTTAGAGGATGTATCATTATTGTAAAAGAAAGTGAAAAAGTCGTCATCGAATCTTTCTGTAACAACTTTTTGGTTTGATTCATGTGAAATAACGAATTTGGCGATACTTTCGCTATATGCATTAGGTTGTTCTTCCACTTCTAAGAGTTTCTCTGGTTCAATTTTAGATGTTTGAATAGTGAAATTCATATATGAATTTAAATGCTTTCGAAAATCAAAGAGTAGTCCTTCTATAATTCCTTTGAGCTTCACTACATCAGTCTCACTGTCATTATCAACTAATATGAAGTTCAAAGTGGGCGTAGGGAAGTAGTTGAAATGATCAACCTTAGGGGACATAGAGAGCTCGAAATCCAATAAATGATAAATAACGGTCTGAGTAAGGAAAAAAGGTAGATCATTTGATCTAATTGCATCCAAGTTATAAAACACAAACGCAGTCATATCTGTAGAGTCCATTCCAACTGTGTTATCTGTTGAAAAGAATAAGTCTACCTTGTACTGTTCATCGTAAGTAGATTCATAAGGTTGGCTCCTATTGATTTGACCTAATTCTAAATTATCAACCAATTTAACTTTCAAATTCTTTTTACTAACCTTCGGCAATTCAGTATCAACCTGAATCTGTGTAGCAGTAACCAAATCTGGAAATTGAAAACCATAATCCCCAAAGCGAACGTATATTGGTAAAGTGATCTCAAGGCTAGAATTAATAAAGTGCTTCAATTCAACTAATTTTTGAACCTCGTCTTGACGTTGAGAGGCACGTAAGAATGGAAGAACTAACAGCACTATCACGGACGTGATAAACCAAAATCTAAGGCTCTTAAATATCATTCAATTAATGTTCGAAACATGGAAGAATTCAATGCTGATGATTTGCAGATATGTTAACGGTAGAAATATAAGTCATGTGATGAGAAGATATTAAAAAAAAAGTATCAAGAAGTGTAAGGGTCTTACTTTGATTACCAGGTCCACTTTCGATGTCAGTTCCATCTTTGCCTATTCCCGAGCGTCTCGGCATAAATGACCAGGAAGACCAGTATGTTCATGCGGTTTATAATGAAATTGCGTCTCACTTTTCAAAAACCCGGTATAAACCATGGCCCATAGTCGAAAAATTCCTTAACAGCCAAGAGGATTATTCAGTAGGTCTAGATGTTGGATGTGGTAATGGCAAGTACTTAGGGGTCAATAAAAATTTGTATATAATAGGGAGTGATAGGTCTAGCGGTCTTATCGAATGTGGTAACGAAATATCAAAAGGTTCTTTCAATCTTCTCATCGCAGATGGTTTGAACTTGCCGCATCCTAACGCAACCTTTGATTTTGCTATCTCTATTGCTGTCATACATCATTTCGCTACAGATTTAAGACGAATTGATGCTATTAGAAGTATACTTACAAAATTGAAAAAAGGTGGGAGGCTACTAATTTATTGTTGGGCACTAGAACAAGAGACATCCAGAAGAGGTTATAAAAATGGCGATGCTCAAGATGTGCTTGTGCCATGGGTTTTACAAAGAAAGAGCAAGACTAAAAAGAAACAGGAAAAGGAAACACATGGGAAGAACCAAGACGATCCTGAGCTGAATCAAGAACCAGAAACGAAATACCGTTTTTATCATCTATACAAAAAGGGTGAGCTTCGAGATGATGCAATGAAAGCAGGAAATTGTCAGGTAGTTGAAGAAGGCTACGAGAGAGATAATTGGTGGGTAATTGTAAAAAAAGAATAAATAGTATGTAATTGTAGTTCGGGAATAGACTCGACCGGTATCGACTATTAAATTTTATATTCTTGAGGTAAGCGAAACTTCCTTTTGACGAACCATATAATGCTTTCACCTGCCGAAAAGCAAGAAAAGATTATAAGGTCAACCGATTTAGATGCCTTAAGCTGTAGGTTCAGTGCAAATAATAAATCTTACTTTGCACCTCCAGATCCATATATTGATGTGTTGATTAAATCCTACAGGAGCTACCTTCATTATTGTGCTGGTTATAGCAATTTATCGGCTAACAGGACTTTGAAAAGCTCCTTTGGCGAGAAAAAGATGCCATTGATTAATAGAGGTACCTACTTTAGAACTAAGCTGATAAATTTAATTATAGACGAATTTATTCAAGAATTTGGCAAATGTCAGATTATATCTTTGGGAGGAGGCTCAGATACCAGATGCTTCCATTATCTAGCTAATAGCAATGTCACTTATCACGAAATTGACTTTCCAGAGTCTGCAAAGATAAAGTTATTGGCCATTTTCGGGAACGCCTCACTCAAGGAAATAGTTCAATATAATGAAGATAGAGATAGAGATTTCGAAATAAACTCAAAAGAGGACTTCGAAAATTACGAATCTGAATTGCATACTAATAATTATCATCTTTATGGAATGGACTTAAGACAATTGAAAGATTTTTCTATTGGTGAAGCGAAGTTTTTGCCCTATGTGAATACATCCTTGCCTACTTTAATACTAAGTGAATGTGCACTTTGTTATGTTTCACCTTTAGAAAATGAGCAAATTGTAAAGTTTTGGAACAATTTTTTCCAAAAATCTAACTGCGTACTAGCATTTTTAACATATGAACCCATGTCTTTAGATGATCCTTTTGGTGTAACAATGAAAGACAATTTATCCAAAAGAGGAATAAACTTGTTAACTTTTAATGAGTTTCCAACATTACAATCAAGATGTGACTTTTTATTTAGTGTCTGTCACTTGAAAAATATTCGTCTCACTGATATGTGTGATATCGGTGGTTATGGGAACGAATCTCCTTGGATTGATAACGAAGAGCTCCTTCGCATCAATAAACTCGAATTGATAGATGAAGTTGAAGAAATAAGGTTGCTTCTAAAGCACTATTGCATTTGCTATGGTGAAATGTCTCGCAGCAACGTGAAAAGATTCAAAGGAATTGACAATTGGCGATGGCTCATTAAAAGGGATACATGAGATGCGCCACTTTATGCATTTTCTAAGGCCATCACACTACACCACCAAAGCCCAAGGGCAGTTCTGAATCTTTTGGTAAGAGACAGAGAAATTTATAGGATCTTCCCATGCTGTCTTTTTCTTTGGATGTTAATCTTTTATAAGCATTATAAATCTTTTCTTGTGCATCGAAATTTCCAGATTTCGCCTTTATAAGTTGATCTGCTCTATATCCAATGCCAAGCTCGTGAAGCCAATCGCCTTGCTCTCTGGGACCAAAAGCGTCGCAGAACCTTGAAGCAAGGAGCTTTAAATTCTCAAAATCGACGTCAACAGATAAATCAACGTCACCGGGTTTAGCAAATGGGGAAACGAATTTGTGCTTGAAAATACCTCTTAAAGTATTGTCTGGAATCCCTTCACTCGAGCCGTAATCAATTATTAATACTGAACCAAGCTTTTCTTGATTGCACAAGAGTTGTACCATTTTCAGAATATAGAGTTCTGCGTCCGCGCAGATTTCTATCCGACTACCAACTGGCATATCCTTGTACCTTGGACTTAGCGTAGGTAACATAGAAGATGGAGTTTCTTTAGGAGACATGGTCAAATGGAATTCTGTCTGAAGAAAATTTTGATCATTATCACTAGCGCTGTCGGCGGACGGCAAAGTCATTTGCGTATTTTTGACACTAGGTGAATGCTCAACTAGTAATTCTCGCCACCCATCCTCAGTCTTTTGGAATGATTTTATAGGCAAAGCGTCAAAAAATTCGTGTGCTATGACGTAGTTAGTAATTCCATTTTTAATTGCAATGTCCTTTTCAGTGTCCATCCACTTGATTTTTTGGCCCCACTTTGTAGTAGAAACATTGAATCCTTGATCGTCAGTTGTGAACAGATTTTCCTCCCCACATAATAGCTTCCACTGTTCTTTTCGTAGTATAGTTGAAGCTTCGATTAGGATAATTTCAATACTAACCTTACTCTTGTTTAACTTATTGAACGAGCTCAAGCAGTCAAACATTAGTGTGCCTTTTCCAGGACCAAACTCTATAATGCGGACTTTATCTGGCTTTCCCTGTTTGAAAAATGTACTGTAGAGCCAGACTCCAATCATTTCGCCAAACATGGATGATATCTCGGGTGAAGTTATAAAATCACCACTATTTGAATCTAAAGGATCTCTAGTTGTATAATATCCAAAGTTTGGATGTGTTAAGCATTGCCTCATGAAAGCTGATAGTGAAATCGGTCCCGTAGTTTTAATAGTTTCCGATAAAATATCCGTCAAATTTTCCAACTTAATCTGTTTGGCATTAGAAGCGGCAGGAAAACTAGGCATTTTACTTATATTTTCACGCACATTTATATCCCCCTTTATTTCTTTCTCAAGCAGTTCTATTTGATTTATAATACTCTTTTTCGCCTCATCGTACTCAGCTTTTGTAAATCGACCAAAATAAAGTTCGTTTTCTTTCCCTTCATCTTTCGATTTCTTTGAGAGCTTAAAACTCGAGGAAAAATATCGTTTGCAGAAGAAACTACAATGCGTATAATAGTTCTTATTTTGTCCGATCGTTCTTTTTAGCATTTAGTTTTCTTCCTAGCCGTGACTTTGCAAATCAAATGTTTTTTTTTATTTACGAACTTTTTTTCAATGCGGGTTTGGGTTATCTTACAATTATCGAACAAACCATAAGTATATTGAAATATACAACGGAACTTAATTATGATAAGTTCACGAAGAAAGACTAAACAAATTGGATAAAAGAATAAAACCGAAGGAGCAATGTAGCCAAGAATTGGAACCAAGAACAAAAACTTAAAAAAAATTGAAGCAATTATGCTTCCAAATCAAAATTTTCGTACTAAGAAGCAATTCCTTGAATAGTGGTCAAGGGTTGTTCTAAGAATTCAACGGCTTGAAAGTTTAACGAGAACTTGTACCTAGGATGTTTAATCATAGCATCTAAACAAATACTTTCACCTGTAGGCAGTTCATCCGCATTATTAATTGCAAAAGTAGTTGCAACTTTGAAGCCTAACTTTCCGTAGAATGTTCTGTTATTTGGATTGGAATTTTCTAAATAACACCAACTATTCGGCACTTGGTCAACATACTTATTTATGAAGTGATTTATCAATATTTTTGCTAATCCCTTTCCTCGCATGGAAGGTAAGAGACCAACATCAGATAAATACCAAACCGTATCACCGGTTGGATTCAACTTCGTATCTCCCAAGACTTTATCTCTAACCTCAGCTAAGTAAGGTAATTTTTCCTTCAATCTCAGGCGACATTTCGCCAATGCAGAGAATACACTCAACTTTAAGAAGGAAGGCCTAATGTTATCTAATACTCCAAGCGACTCCGTATAGTCGTATACGAAGCTGCTCTGATCAAATTCTAATTTGTTCCAACAAGCAACGCCTAAATAGGGAAGGTTTTTGGATTTAATGTGATTCAGAGCAAGATCCGATTCCAAACTATTGTCCTTCATCACAATGATCATACCTCCTAGATGAAAACATTCCAATACCTGACATTCATAGAATGCAAGCATTAAGTCCTTCTTCCTTTTCCCCTTTTTACTAAGAGGATCCAACTTAGTTTCTGTATTTAAAATGTAGTTGGTAAATGGGTCTTCCTCAAACGCAATCAGAAGAGTTTTAGCTATCCTATGATAGTCCCTTACATTGGCAACTTCGATAGAGACATCTAAATCCCTGCTGATTGTGATCGAGTCTGCGCTTTCGTTTCGATTTAATTTTGTATTTGTTAGTCTCAGGGTAGAGACTGCGCTGCTAGCATTAATCCCACCGCAACCCTTCACGGTCGAATTAACACTAACTTCTCCACCCTGAGACTGTGGCAGTCGGGGTTTTCCCTTAGCATTTCCTTCATGGTGTTCTTCGAAACCCTGCGAAAACATTATTGTTCATCTATTATGAAAACGGAAACCTTGTGTAGCAAATAAGCTGTAAATTTACTTTGTGATAACTATTGTATGAGTTTGGGAGTACAACTAGAATTTAGTGAGTACTTTCCGACAAAAATCTTACCTGTTAGTCTTCTTTCTGATGTATCGACGTCTGTAGGCGAAGGGTGGTCTGATCCTCTATTTATCCCCCAGGCAGAGGGGATCGGAAACGCGGTCCCATTCGTTATCTTTTTTTCTATTAAGCCACTTATCGGATGCTCCTACCTAAAGCGGTGTCTGTCCTAATAGGAGTACATAAACTGACCCCGATGTTAAGGGTCTTCCATCTCTGAAATTGATTACCCGGTCAACTATTATATACAATACCTTGTGGTCAGTAGAGGCGTGTCTAGATTTTTGTTTATATGCAGTCTTGTCTGGGCAAACCCACCCTTATTCAAACCTTAGCAATGTACATGAGGGTGAATCAATTGAAAGCCAGGGTCCCAATATCTAAGTTACGAAGATATAGAGGCAATATTCTCAGAATTACTTAATTGCCTTAGTTGTATAGACAATTTATTGGCGATTAAGTTTATCTAAGATTTTTGTGGCCATCTTTCTGTACGTGGAAGGTTCTGTGAACATTATAGACTAAACGTTCGTATTATAGCATGGGCAACCACACATCGAAACCTAAGGATGTACGAGGGCAACCTTTGACACGATCTGATACACTGAATTCTGCTAAGTCTTCAAGATCGATTAGATCGAGAAAATCATTCCTGAGAGATGAGTCAGCGGAGCCCCAGAAAGGAGCAAAATCTCCAAAGGTCCTTTCGAGGAAGAATTCATCTTCTAGTGGAACTGAATTTCAAAGAAATGACTTTCAGAGAAATGATTCCTCTAATAATTTGTCAGGTTCTTTTTCTAACTTGAACATTTCAAATAGTCAAAATTTAAAACTTCCTCCTTCAATGATGCAAGTGGAACCAATGGAGCCTATTTTAATACGCAGAAATAGTGGAAACTTGGAACCACCAGCTATGTCACCAAGATATCATTCATTTCCATCTACAAATTCACCAAAGTCTTCTCCTGCGACAACATCAAATGACACTCCAGAATACAATATAAGTAGAACTTCTACGAATAATTCTACGTCAAAATCAAGTTTACACAACTATCCCCTTTCTCCACAGACAACCGGATCAAATTCAATAACGAAACAGGATGGCAACATATCACTATCCCCGCATAATAATTCAGATGCAAATTCGGTATCTTCAAGAAGCATAAATGGAAGCATTCATAACAATTCCGCCGGTTCCTCAAATAATAGTTTAAAGAGTAGCTCAAGTAATTATGGGGACTCTAGTATACAAAACAAATTTGGAACAAACGAAATCCAGAAAGTGAGTAGCAGAACAAGTTCTAGCAATAATGTAAATTCACAAAATTCGAATAGCATAGACGTTGAAGACTTGATCCAAAGACTACTTGATGCTGGCTATAGTGGAAAAAGAACGAAAAACATCTGTTTAAAGAATTTTGAGATCCAATCAGTATGCGCTAGAGCTAGAGAAATTTTTTTACTGCAACCACCTTTACTAGAATTGTCGCCTCCTGTTAAAGTTGTGGGTGATGTTCACGGCCAATATGGCGATTTAATAAGGATATTCACAAAATGTGGATTTCCGCCTCTGACAAATTACTTATTTTTAGGAGATTACGTTGATAGAGGAAAGCAATCATTAGAAACTATTCTTTTGTTGCTATGTTATAAAATTAAGTACCCCGAGAACTTTTTTGTTTTAAGGGGCAATCATGAATGTGCTAACGTCACGAGGGTTTATGGATTTTACGATGAATGTAAACGAAGGTGCAATATTAAAACATGGAAACTCTTTATTGATACTTTCAATACTTTGCCCATAGCTGCAATTGTTGCTGGCAAGATTTTTTGTGTTCATGGTGGCTTATCGCCTGTCTTGAATTCTATGGATGAAATAAGAAACATCGCAAGGCCAACAGATGTACCCGACTTTGGGTTATTAAATGACCTATTGTGGTCTGATCCTGCTGATACCGTGAATGAATGGGAAGATAACGAAAGAGGAGTGTCATACGTGTTCTCAAAAGTCGCAATCAACAAATTTCTCCTGAAGTTTGGTTTTGATCTTGTATGTCGGGCCCATATGGTTGTTGAGGATGGCTACGAATTTTTCAATGACAGAACTTTAGTGACGGTTTTTTCAGCTCCAAACTATTGTGGCGAATTTGACAACTGGGGTGCTGTTATGAGCGTTAGTGAAGAGCTACTTTGCCTGTTTGAGCTTTTAGATCCTTTGGACAGCTCAGCATTGAAACAAGTGATGAAAAAGGGAAAGCACGAAAGAAAATCTGCGCAGTTACAACAACAAAAATATATTAATTAAAAATTAGAATATTGAAATATCTTGAACCTATTTGGTCAAGAATAATGATAATCAATGTTTGAAATGAAGTAGGATTTCACCAATTATACCGGCAGCATTCAAGAAAAACGAATGCAGCTTAACCTTTCTCTATATATATTATCTTATCTTTCTGCAGCTTCTTTTTCACGTTGGATCATTTATTCTTTGAAGAATTGGGTTCTTGTTTACTTAAAGCATTGCTATGTCGAGAAGAGCATAGTTTATACGATCTATAAATAGTTACAATAAATATCTCGTTTAGTATAGAGATTTATGTTCATTGACCAATTTTGATGTTTTTTTTTTTTTGGTCTAAGTGCGATATCTGCCTATTTATGGAGTACGTCTCAATTAGTCCCTATGAAGATATAACGATGAATGATAATAATCCATTTGACTTTTTATTAAAGACTGAAAGTTATGAACCTCTAATAGACTTGGTCGACCAGTTATCTAAAAAAATTAGGGAGAACGAGGCATTGATTAGTAAGTTGACTTATCATATTGATATTAACTTGGAGCTTCCAAATGTGCCTGTAACAAAAAATGACGATGAATCTGATCCAATTAATATACATGAAATTACCTGTGATAACTTAGAGCATATATTAAACCAAAAGTATTCCCTTGGTGACATTAAACTTCCCAGGAATTGTGAAGTTCAGGAATCAAATCCAAGAATTAAGAAATTGATCGAGGATAATTTGAAGCTCAGAGTTCTCAAGAAACAAAAGGACCTCAAAAACCGACAGCTTTTGAAAGTAATAAATGAATATGATCAGTTTATAACGGAGGATATATTGCCTGCTTTAAGACGAGATGTAACAAATTATCACATTGAGGTCAATAAGGAATTTAAAGAATCACAACTTAATCGAAAGTACAAGACTGTTGGCTTGCTTTGGCAGAGATACGTCAAATATTTTCAGTATTTATGTGAACTTACAGAAACATGCAAAAATTTGGTAGAAGTCCTTGGTTTCGAAACTAATGAGCATGAAATCAGCATGCTACAACAGAAATTGAATATTGTTGACCAACTAAGGTCCTTCATAGAGAATACCTCGTCTCCTTTATGATAAAGGAATGCATTAAATAAAAAAGTGAAAGGATACAATATTTCGCTTTGGTCATATTACTGCTCTAGAATTTAATAGACAAATATTGCTAATCCTAATTTTGCTTACCTCGACTATTTCGGGATCAAATAAAGACTTCTTTCTCTCCAAAGAGCCAGCACCATTAATGATAAAATCAGAGAGTGTCTTCAGTCAGTAGTATTTTTAGTACCGAGATAACTATTAATAGCATTCAAAGGCTTTATAGCTTCTACAAATAGTCAAAACATGGCTATATGTTCATTCAGTTTTAGGTTTTTAAATATAGAATTTATTAATATATGTAGATTCTCGACTTTATTAATTTTTCGTAAAATTTTACCTACTTACTGGAAAATAGTATCTATCCCATAAAATGACTTCGAGCTTCAAAACTTGAAACACTCAAAGCACCAAACGAAGAAATCCTGGCATGATCAATTAGAGTCTCTTGATATGGAAGATTTGCCTTTTGAATGGCTATGCTAAGCCTAAGCCGGCTGCGAAATAGAATCTGTATATTTATGCAGGTACAGAGAACGGCTTCGGCTTATATTAGTCGACCAAGCGTTCAATAAAAAAAAGAAGCGTTCTAATCCTTCTATGGATTCAAAATGGTTATTCTGAATAAACGATTATAGAGAAAGCTATAATATTGCCTACTATCCAAAATAACTTAAAGCAATGATGTTCTAAATTTTATTATTGTATGTATTTGTGGTAAAAGTTTTAAGAGTTATCGAAGGAAATTAGGTCTGAAAGGTTCGAAACTTGTTACCTCATTTGACGATAAGCAGCTATTGCATAGTTTTTATAACTGGCCCTTTATCAACAGCGTCCTCTGTCCTCAGGGTAGTAGTACATGCTTCGGATTCTTCATCATTCAAAAGATGACTTAGCATAAGGTTTGGTGATTTTTTCTGGGAAAAAGTCAATTCGGAAACTGAAGGCAATGTTGTTTGATTTGACTGGGAGTATTTTATACTCGGAAAAAAAGATGGACGAGTAACCTCTTTTTGTACTCGATTAGTTTTGTTGGCGTTATTGACTTGACTGAATGATTGGTGAAACAAAGGTGAAAATGGCGATGCTGTTTGAGGTTTAAGCAAAGCAGACCGAGGGCCATTGGAAACGGAAAAGCTTGGAAATGAAGAAGATTGAACTCGGCTACTAGGAGCTGGGGGAGCAGTTTTAAGTGTCTCTTGATATTGAAAACTATTATGAAGTCCATTATTGTCGCCATCAGCCGAGAGCCTATTTCCCGTATCGTTTATAAATGAATGCTGTAATGACAAAGGTTTTGGCCTTCTTTTAGGTTTGAATACGTTAGGGTTTTTCAAAAAGTTAATCTGGGAGGATGGTGGGGGGGTTGCCAGCTGATGAACATGAGGTAAGGAAAAAGCAGGGGGAGAATAAGACCCATTTATGTTCGGTTGGCCACGCGGATATTGATGCATATTATGATAGCTATAAGGATAAGCCGGAGAAGAGCTGTTCGGGGGAGAAATTAAGGCACCTTCATCTTCAAAAGTCTCATTATTCAGGTCAAAATACATCGAGCTGGGAGTCTTTGGCTGAATCGAGCCTTTGAGAGCTTCGTGTTCCTTCAATGTACCACCAGATATCAGTTTCTCATATGCGTGGACTGTTTGCTGGTGCTGTCTCAAATTGTCTAGCCTCGAGAAATTCTTTGTACAATGTGGACATGTGAATGGACGTTCGCCAGTATGCTTTCTTTTATGTCTTGCCAAATGTTCAGACCTAGTAAATGACATATTACAATCAGGATAACCAGTGCATTGAAACACTCTTCCCTTTGCTGGCCTCTTATTCTTATTCTTTCCTTTCGCATTGTTGTCGCTTAGGCTATCATTAGAGCTCCCTGAATGTCCACGATCTGAATCATTCATACTTTCAGGTGCATCGCTTACGCGTATTTCCTCATCATTTGATGATTCGACTTCATTTGTTAGATCTTTCTTACCAGGAGAGGGATCTAAAATCGCTCCAACTTCAACTCTACCTGTAACCATTCTATTTTTAAATTATTTTTCTTAACTTCTTAATAACTGAGTCGACCTGAGTTCAGAAGATTACAATCTCCAGGATTTGTCATCTACCTATCCAAACACACTAGAAACTGTTGCTTTTATATTGTTATCTATCTTTTAAGCTATTTCCTATACGTACGCAAACTTGTTTATTTAGTCAACGATAAAATTTTCGTTTAGCTCTCAGGTGCACACCTGCATATTATCAGATAAGATTACATCAGACATTATATTAAAAGAAAATCAAACGGAGAGCTTTTTTATCAACAAAGACCTATCAAGTAATGCAAGTTAGATGCAATTGCAAAGAATATGTGTAAAATGATTAATTCAAGAATTCTATCACAATTTCCTTAGCAACACGAGTTCGTACTCGTGTTAGCGTTATTATCAACAGAGATATCAATAGTGTCAGGTGTCGACCTATCTTGGACGTTGAGCTCATGACTCTCTGGGGAGCTTGCCTCGGGCAATGCTTGTGCGATCTTCTTAAACAACAACTTCACATTGTAGTTTGCCTTCGTAGATGTCTCAATGAAAAATTTTGCTCCAATCTTTTTTGAGAGTGCTTCGCATTCTTCGACTGATACCTGTCTCTTATTACTGAGGTCCGATTTATTACCCACAATTACAATAATAACATCATCCCCACGTTCTAATTTCACATCATTCACCCACTTTTCTAGATTTATGAAACTTTTTTTATTTGTTATGTCGTAACATATTACTGCAACATGCGAATCTCTTATATAGGATGGAATCAACGACCTGAATCTTTCTTGACCAGCCGTATCCCATAATTGAAGCCTTATCGTCTTGTTATCTTCTAAATACATTGTTTTTGATAAAAAATCTATCCCTATCGTGGCTGCATACTGATCATCGAACGTATCGTACATGAATCTAGTGATAAGAGAAGTTTTTCCCACTAAAAAAAAGAAGTTAGTATCAACAATCAAAACGAAACAATGCTGAAAATAGAGTTCAACAAAATGGCGACATGACAAAATAAGACAAGCTCTCCAGAAAGCAAAGAAAAAAATAGATTGTTAAAGAAAATTTCTTAGCGTAGCAACTTATATTCTAATAACCATAATACTCAGCCAAGCGAAATGAACCGTCAATACAATTAATTCACATCTGAATGTACCAACGATTTTATTAAAGTGACACCTTCCACATTGCTTTCCTCTTTCATCATCTTGCCGCCTTCGTTGGAGCCCCTAATCGAATTTCACACTACTGATTCAGCTATAATAGTTAAACATACCACTTTGATCGCCTAGAAATACGATTTTGTATTTCCTTAATATATGGGATCTATCAGAACTCATACTTATCTGATTTAGCGTCCCTTCGTTTTTAATATTACTTGAGATCTAAATCTGTTGGCTCAGTTTTCGATTTTCGTCCTCCCCCCAGCCTAGAATCAAAATATTACATAAGCCCTGTGATTAAATTTTCTTTTAATCTTTTCTGCCTTATAGATAGTCAAAGAATAAATACGTACTCGGAATGGAAGATTCTGAACTAAATGCCATCAGAGCGGCAAGATTGGCTGAATTGCAGAAGAGTTCTGGACAACCTTCGGATGCGTCGTCTGCTAGAAATGACGAAGCAAAGTTATCTGTACTTTCGCAAATATTAGAAACAAGTGCAAGAGAAAGATTGAGTCGGGTCAGAATGGTACGACCAGACAGAGCAGATGCTGTCGAAAAATACATTGTGAAGATGTATTCTATGGGTTCGATAGCCAGGAAGCTTACGGAGAAAGATATAGTGGAAATCCTAGACGGGTTATCTCGAGATGAAAAGCAGCATACGCAAAATAAAATCGTTTTCAATCGCAAAGCGTCGATTGATGATGACGATGATGACTTCTTTGATTGAAGCTTGGTTGTAGAGATGCTCATATTCTCTCTGAAGTGTCGGCTAACGCAATTATCTTAAATAGTTTGAAAAATCCCGGATATAATACTGCACATAAAATTATAATGGTATATCTATTTTGTAAACAAACAAAGAACCGATTACAAGTATCTTGAAATCTGACTCCAACATTATACATAGAAGGTGTACTACTATAGGTAATGTCAAATATACAAGTAGTAGTGAGGTGTAGAGGGAGAAATTCTAGAGAAATAGCGGCGAAATCGCCCGTGGTAATAGATTTGCCTGATGAAATGTACTCAAATACAGATTCATATATCAGCATTCGTCCCTCTAGTCCAAATGCAATTTCCGATTTACAAAACTCGAGAACCTATAAAGTAGATAAGGTGTATGGTTGGCAAGCTGACCAGAGCTTAATATTTCAGCAGGTTGCATTACCTCTATTTCAAGAATTTATGAGCGGGTACAATGTGACCATCTTAGCATATGGACAAACAGGAACCGGGAAAACGTTTACAATGTGTGGTGATTATCTGGATGAACTAAGTGAAGATACTGGAATTATACCCAGAGTTTTGAAGCAACTCTTTGCAACTTTGGAAAAAGATGATGGTAATGATTACTTAGTCAAATGTTCATTCATAGAATTATACAACGAAGAATTGAAAGACTTACTCTCAGACGATGAAAGAGCAAAATTAAGGATCTTTGAAAGCAAGCAAAAATCTTCGAATTCTATCTTAATTCAAAACTTGAAAGAAGAAATAGTATTGAATTTAAACCATGGTTTTAACATTCTTAAGAAAGGAGTAATGAAACGTAAAACTGCATCAACAAAGTTAAACGATGTTTCTTCAAGATCGCATACAATATTTTCAATCAACTTATACAGAAAGAAAGATAATGAAATATTCAAGGTCTCTAAAATGAATTTAGTCGATTTGGCTGGGTCGGAGAATATAACAAAATCAGGAGCCATCAACCAAAGAGCAAAAGAAGCAGGATCAATCAATCAAAGTTTATTGACCTTGGGAAGAGTGATTAATTCTCTTAGCGAAAAGAATGTCAGCTCTAATCATATACCATACAGAGAATCAAAGTTGACAAGGTTGCTTCAAGATTCAATTGGTGGTGAAACCAAAACCACCCTCATTGCTACTGTTTCACCAGCAAAAATAAACATCGATGAAACAGCTTCAACGCTAGACTATGCAGCTAAAGCAAAAAATATCAAAAACTTACCTCAATCAGGACAAGATTCCGACTTAATCATGAAAAGAGTTATTGTCAAAGATTTGGCAAGAGAAATTGTTAAGCTAAACTATGATATTGAAGCTACGAGAAGCAAAAATGGGATTTACTTACATGAGTCCAACTACGCTAATTTAATTAGTGAGAATGAGTCAATGAAGGCAGAGTTAAAGGAAACAAACAGTAAAATTAGGGCCTTGCTGTCCAAAGTGGATATGCTAGAGACGAAACGGCGAGACTACGAATTAGGAGAAAAATCTTCGAAGCAAAATTTAATGGAAGCCCAAATAAAAATCAAAAATCTTGAGTCAAATACGTGCAACTTGAATCAAAAAATCGTGGATAGAGACAGTAGAGTTGCAGAATTGGAAAAGAAATTGACTAGATTAAATGAGAGATACAAGGTTACTACAAATCACTTGACGCAACTTGTGAATGAGAATTTGAATGTTTCAGTTAAAAAGATAGAAAATTTAATAAGAAATTATAATAGTAGTGACATCCATGAGGAAATAGAAAAAATGAGCAATGCAGTCTGTGAGGACTTGGACAGACTTCGCTCCAGTATCATTGATCAAATTAAAAATGTCACCTCTACTATTAACGAAACAGTTCATGATATACCTCTGCAGGCTGGGTCATTGACAAACGGAGTCGAAGCGATCAGCACGGATTTTGTTAATAGCCAAAAGAAATTGAAGCAAAATTTGTCCGATTTGAGAGTAGCCGATGCTAAACTATCTGGATATATTAAAGAAGATCATTTGACGGCAGAACGACAAGCCAAATTGACAGACGAAATAATCAATGGGAAGCTAAATGATGGAATCTCCCAGGTTCATCGTCAACTCAATGATAAATTAGAAGACCTATTAAACCAAGCTAGGTCCAGCTATAGTGGGTTGTTAGAAAGTTCTATTTCTGAGGTTTCAAATAGACTACTCGGAAATGAGAGAAAGGAAATTCAAAAGAGGCAACTAAATTGGTCAACGGAATCCAAAAAAATACATGATGGTATAGACAAGGACGTGGATCTCTCCTTGAACAATTTCGATGAGGCAAGAGCACGCCATAAGACAGAAATATCTAAAACATTTGATAAGTTGTCTCACTTATTAAGCGGCAACATATCGAGAAATTTAGAAAATGTCACTAACATAATGGGTACGGCCACTGAAGATGTAATGAAGAAGAGATCGGAGAGCTTTGACTGTATTAATCAAAATATTGAGAATAAAGATAGACGAATAAATGAAGACCTCGAATCGGTCAATAAGGAATTGATCTCCATACATGACTTCAATACCGAAGCATTAAATCAATCTCCTCAGCATAGCTCCCCTGTCCGCAGGTCACCACTGAAGTCACCAATAAGGGCAAACGTCACTAAGAGACAATCTCCCGCAAAGTCTCTGAACATAATGCTGAAATCCAAGATCCCACAGTTGGGCAAATTGAGTCACGAAGACCAGGAAAACTTAGCAGGAGCTTCTCTTAAAAGGAGGAAGATTTTACAACTGGTGGATACCAATAACATATGCCAATGACCTCCTATAGATCCTTGTACAATAGTATAGATAGATAGAATAGTTGTAATTTTATGCAGGTTACTAATTGATAGTAGAGCGAATATGACAACACGACCAAATCCATATTAGAATTAATAATATACCTCAAATAGATACGTATATCAAAGACGTGGGAGGATGGTTTTATCCAAGGGTATAAGATACTTTATACTTTATTGCACCATCTCAACTGGGCTTTTAAGTTGGTCATTACAGGATTCTTTAAGTAAATCATATAATCATGTAATGTTTCTAGTTGAGATTACGGATGGTTTAAAATTAGGTATATTAATTAACTTTATATTCATGGCATTTGCACTTAGTACGAAGCTTTTACAAAATGTCTTGTTTGGTGAGCTAAGGGTTATAGAAATTGAACATTTGGTGGAAAAGATACCTATGTTTAGTTTGAATCTTTTATTTAACTTGGCCCACAACGATAATAACTTTTTATTAAATTGTTTTCTACTCGGTCTCTCCATCAGCTTTAAAGTTATACAAGTTGTTTTGGTGGATAGGCTTGATTTCAATCTTGTGAAGGTGTCTAATAGTTCTGAAGAAGATCATTATTCGAAACGAATGGTGTTAAGAAGCATAGTCTTCAATTTGAATTTTTGGCTCAGTTTCATTTTCTTAATTCTCAATTTCATTGTGGCCAAGTTCCTTGTCTTTGACGTTTTTCAGGGAATCAATTCGGTAACGTGCTTACTATTTGGCTTTCAATTTGCAATCCAAGGTGTTGAATCTTTGACTTACAACTCAAAGTTAATATTCAATGTTTATGAATTGTTGTACTATAGAGCTGACCAAGATTACAATGATGAAACTGATGATGAGAATGAGGAGGATGAAAGGACGTGGGAGAGCAAGCCTTACTTCAGCAAGGGAATTGATATATTGTCATCTTCCTTAAAAGCAATAGCCCACTTGGGGTTCATGTATTTGTTGACGTTCCATTCCGGACTATCTTTACCTATATCGATGCTACAGGGCACTTATACATCCTTGAGACAAGTGTATCATGAATTTTCTCAATTGCTTGCCTTCATTGAAGCATCAAAGAGACTTGAAAGCCAATTACCTAATGCGTCTAAAGATGATATAGATAATTCAGACAGTCTTTGTATAATATGCCGTGAAGATATGTGTTCGGCAGAAGAATATGAGGAAAGTCATGGCAAAAAAATTTCATCAAGAAGATGTCCAAAAAGATTAAAATGTAATCATATTTTACACATGGGTTGTTTGAAAGATTGGCTTGAAAGGTCAGAAATCTGTCCCATGTGCAGACGAAAAGTCTTTGAAAGTGAATCTAACCAACAAACTGAGAGACACACAGCAGTTAACGAACTTCAGGATGAAGCCATTGAAATAGCAAATGATCCAGATCGTAGGGCTGAAGGAGAGCAGAATGTAGATTCTGAAATGTCGAACTTAAATGTCACTGAGAATGGCCAAACGGCACCTACTCAGACAGATGGCTCAACCATAGCAGATGAATTTCAGACCATTAGGCTTCCATCTTCTGCACTCATACCGCCAGGTTGGACTTTATTACCTCTTCATAAAGAGGGCAATGGCGAATACAAAATTGACTTTTCAAACTATCATCAAGGGACTTTAACTGTAAGAGAGAATATATCGAATCGTGATTTAACATTAGTAAAGCCTAGTGCTTTGGACCCTTATGATGATATAATGACTAATGAAAACGACGAAAATGAAAGTGCAAAAAGAAATACCACCCCAAATATTGCACATATAAATTAAAGTAAATACACTAAATATTTCATTTAGATAGTAAATGGCATTAATTCTGAGGACTTTTTATATTTTATACTTCACTCGAAATCAAACTCGAAATCAAGCTTATTTGATTGATCTTCATTATCTTCATTACTAGGATCATATGCATTTGCACCAATCCAAAGAGAGTCATTAGAATCTTTTGCATTAATTTCATCAGAAGATTCTCTTTCAATGCCATCATCATCAGGAAATTCATCAACATTGTCGTCATCGTTTGGTGACTCGGTCTCTTCTGGCAAGTTTAGAGGAAACGTTGCATTTCCATAGCTATCAGGGTCATCAGATTCCTCAGCCGAATCGTGAAAAGAATTGGCCCTCTTAACATTCAAGACTTCGAAAATTCGATTCACTTCCTTATTCAAGGGCTCAACTGGATAATAAAATTGAAACGTTTTGCATTTATCCAAGTTTTTTTCCATTGTTTTGATATGCTCCAAAATTTGATTGTGCAAAGGAGACTCGGTTCTACCGTCGTTGTAATTACCTATTGCGTCTGTCAGAGAAGCCCCGAAAGATTGGTTTTCACTATGAAATTTATCTGTTAAAACAATGCTTTCAGAGAGCTCACAAAGGGCCATCAAATAGTAAAATACACCGTCACAGTTATATGGTGGTTCTAATAATAGCTCCTCTAGCTTGGACTTAAGCTTTGAAAACTTCTTTTCAAACATCAACTCCCATAAAGATGAAATTACATATAAAGGGGTATGACTCTTAGACCCTGATCTCCAAGCAGGAGCTGATATTTCTCTGTAGGTTCTAGAATTACTAGTTGTTCGCCTTGTAATGAAAAATGATGATAGCCAGTCAAAAAATTTCTCTTCTTTAAATATCAATAACGAACTCAGTTCATTAGTGTCTATCTCTTGACTTCGCTTACTCAAAATCTCTATTCCAATGGGCCAAATAGTTCTAATGTCGACTTTGGGTATTCTTACTAAAAGACAAAAGACTTTATAGGCAAGATCCCACTTTCTACTAAGCACATTTAAATGTAAGAGCATCTTTAAATTATCAAGATGCTGTTTCATTACATTCACTCTTTGATTTGGAGCATTTTCGTAATTTTCAATAGGTAAAACCTCAAGTCCTTTTGTTCTTATCAAAAAATGTGCTTTTGTCCAGTTGCTTGAAATATCGAATGAGCTGTTAAACTTCTTTATTTTATCATCTATTTCACCATTATCATTCTCATAATTCTCATCATCACTTGGTCTGTTGTTTTCTATTTCATTTAGGGCATTAGGGAGGAAATCATCATGATGCTCATCATCTCTAGCAGTATTTGAAGTATGCCAAGTTTCATAACTTTCTTCTGGCTTATATCGTTTGATGCGATCTTCGTGAATGCCTTGTAAGATTTTTCTTTTGTTTCTTCTCTTCTTCAAGAGGCTCTTTTGTTCAGTTGTCAATCTGGCATCATTGCTGATGTCTTGAAATTTTTCAAGCTCTATATATCTAGAAAGAAGAAACTGCAACTGCTTGTTCTTTTTTTTACTGTTAGATTTGTTACTATCAGCGTATATCTCCTCAAACATAATGGACTAAAAGTATATAATCATCTTTAGTCTATATTTTTTACCTTTGATAGCTTTGTACGCATGTAAATTTTTGGAAATTATATTTATATTTTCACGTTATTATTAAGCTCCTCTCCGATACAACTACATTTACAAAGTAAGAGAACATAATATCAATTCACTATTGTAATCAAGCTCCTCAACATACACTATTTACAACGAAAGAGGAGTATTCAATATTTACGACTAGTTTCAATGTCGAAGCTATGAGCTTAGAAACCCATTCCTGGCATTCCGCCCATTCCACCCATTGGAGGACCACCAGCAGCTGGAGGTCCCTTAGGTTCTGGTGCATCAACAATAGCACACTCAGTGGTTGCCAATAAGGAAGCAACACCACTAGCATCAACTAAACCGTTTTTGACAACCTTGAAAGGATCAATGATTCCGGAAGCAATCATGTCGGTGAATTCGCTCTTGGACGAGTCATAACCCTTGTTAAAATCTGCGTCATCATAGA